CGCCCCCGCACGTGCACACCCCAGGCCCCGCCACGTGAGGACACAGTGGGTAGGCAGCCATCTGCAAGCCAACAAGAGGCCTCCCCAGAACTCCCAGTCAGCCAGGACCCTGATCTCGGGCTTGTGAGTCTCTCTTACTTTCTGATTAGGATCGCCTCTCATTTCATGGCATATTGCAAAAACGGAGACATCTCTGAATAACAAAGGTAGCAGTCATCCCCATTCTGTTACTTATTCTACCAGAAATCAGTCCGGTTTCATCACTAAAACAATGTTGATTGGTTGCTGATAAACTTTCTTGATCATGTTAGGAAAATTAACCAGTCTTAAGATTTTTATGTTTTTAGTTTTTAATAGATTCATTTTTTTTAAGAGTACCCAAACTTCTTACTCCCAGCTATTAAATCTTTATGTGGTACCTTATTTGCTTCCCATGAAGTCCACTCTGCCGACTTGAAATCATAATCCAAACGGTGGTGTGAATGTTCTGAATCTTTCAGAGGAAAATCTAAAATTGCTAGAGAAAAAACCACGGGACTTCACATAAGTCTGTTCAATGTGAAGTAATGTTTAACGTTCCATTTTACTTATAACTTACTTACAATCCTTTTCAGTTGGGTCCTTATTAGACTCAGCGATCGCTTGAAAATCGTCTTCAACATTAAAGCTCGCACCTCCTCCTGGAAAGTTTTCTTCATCTGGGAACTAGAAAGCAGAGATCCATTTATCTGTTTGCTCAGTAAAGAGAGAAGGTGTGTGCGCGCGCATGTCTTTAGCTTCCTATGTGTACACACACACCTGCAGCGGATGTTCATAGCTGAGACCCAGAAACAAGAACCGATGAGAAGCCAGTTCTGGGCAGGGAGAGCAGCAAGTGCCCCATCTCACATCTCACCAGGCCTCCTGAACCCCGTTTCCTAGGTTCACACCTTTAGGACAGGAATGCCTCACACTGGTGCCATGTTCACATCACGACAGCACGGGCATGACTGCCACACCGCTGCCAGTGCTGGTGCACAGCAGTCACACAGGCCACACAGCGGTCACTCACACATGCGCTGCGCGCTGGCAATGCTACACGTGCTAAGTAATTATGCTGTTTAAATGCCTTCAAGAAGATGACATGATAGTTTAGCACTGAACAAAAGGGCACTGTGGTCACAGAAAGGCAAGAAAACAAAGCGGTGTGATGTACAGTAAGAATGTATGCCCACATACATCTAAAGGACTTCCTTCAGTAATATAATGAAAGAGCTAAGTGAAGGTGGGAAAGTTCTAGAGTGATAAAGCATGGAGTAATGCTAACTGTTCTGTCTCAGCGAATATGATGGTGCTTCTTAAATCAGAGGCGGTATCTTAGAACTTGATGAAACACAGGATGGTTTTAAAGTCCAGAGAGTGCGATCTGTAAGAATCTACAGCAGTGAACCTGGAAACTCATCTCTGAGGGCAGGTCTAGTCATTTTGCCTGAGAACATTTTTATAATCTCAGGGCATGAACATGACCATACTTTTTCCAAACCATACTGTTTGGAAAATAATCAGAAACAAAACAGATGGACTAAGTTTCCTTTTCAAAACAGAGCACCTCTCTGATTTAGTCTCTTCTCCAAAAACACAGGAAAATGAGAAGCAAACATCCTTTATCTTTGATGACACTAAGAAACAATGGTGACCATGAACTGCAATCCATATGAAGAGGAAGGGGCAAGTCTAGACTTGGCAACACGGGAGAAAGTGAAACCTAAGTGCCTGCTCCAGCACGGCCCAGGGAGAAGTGCGCTGACTTCCCTGCAGCCCATGGGACGGCTTAGAAACGAGTCTACAGGGGCTGTTGACAATATCGGATAAAAGTGCTAGAAAGTGAGAAATGAAGAAAACAGTGAGGAAATTACCAAAGAAATGATTAAAATTTTTACAGAATGGTGATGGATGAAAAGATTCACTCAGTATCCAGTATACAGTATTAATAAAATGAAGAAAGGCACATTACTGTGAAATTTCAGAAAACCAGGAATAAAGATGCTAAAAACTTCCAGAAGGAGAAAACACATGAAATTTAAATTTAAAAGAAAAGGGCAGATCACATCCTAATGTTGGGAACAGATTTTAGCCATGTCGCAAATAGACACATGAAGTCGAAAGTAACTCAGCAAGGCAAACTTTACTTGTGCAGAAGGGTGTGGAGCCACCGTAAGCCGGTCCAGCAGGCACACTGAGGGGGTGACAGCGCTCTGCTTCCTGAGGGTGGAGTTCATTTTCCAGCAGTTACTGAGCTGTGTACTTATTGTGTATGTGCATTATGGCTTAATGAAAAGAGAAAATTTTTAAAAATCTCTTTAACAGATACTGGTTCAAATACGTGCATATCATTCTCTCTCCATGACATCGAGTAGATAGCAATGAGGGCACCTGGTGTCATTAGAAGGCAGTCTACGAGCTGTTAAACACACCTCCTATGTGTCATCTGCCTAACTGCTCCTGTCACAGATCTCAGTCTTCGCTAAGTGAAAAGTAACCCTTCTAAACCATGACGCTAAAAAAAGATCTTTCCAATAAAATATATTTGTCTTATTTAGTTTGATTTGAGATGTTAAACTTCTTGTCCATTTACTAAACGCCTTTTTAACTTACAACTATACAAAGATTTAAATATACTCCCTTTACAAAATTTAGCCCTGACATAAGAAAATGATTTGGCAAGACGCAACTATAAAAACATTTTTACCTGCAAAAAGTCAGCCTGCATACAAGTGCTCAGCTGCTTCGGTGCCAGAACACAAATGTCAGGCGTGCGGTTCTCCCACTCGATGCCCTCTGGGATCCGCCCTCTGACCATCACGGCGCCGCTCACGGAGCCTTCCACTCGGTGCCCGTGAAACTCTACAGGCTACAGGCCGATCATTCAGAATGAGCATTGTGTAAGTAGGTATCAACACACACATATATAGAAAATAACACATAACTCAGCTTTCTATTAAATATGACTGAACGTGAATAATTACTAAGGGGCTAGTACTGAATCCAGGAAATATCCCTAGAACGTTACCGGTAACTGATTTAAAGCGCAGAGTTCAGGTTCAACATTAGCAAGTGTGAATTGTTTTACTACGAGCGGGATGAGTGCAATAACAATGGGCAATTCAGCCAGGAAGACGCGGCTGCCCCGTGCCCACTGTACACTCGTTCTGCGTTCCAACGCAGACCGGCCCCATTATGCTCCAAGGAAACCTGCCTGAAAACCAGCTGTGAGCTCCCGGAGCTTCATCAGGGCACCAATAAGTGCATTCCGCACCAGGCCTGGCACAGAGGAGGCCGCCATGTACTGATGGCAGGAAGGGTGGACAGGGGGCGTCCAGGAAGTCTTTTCGTTTGCTTAAGGGTTTTGTAAACATGGGGTGTAGCTGCGGAGGAGGGGTGGTGGGCTCTGCCTCCCAGAAGGCCGGAGAGCCAAGGCCTGAGTGTGGTCCCAGACTCCGGTGGCTTTCCAGCTTCCAACGGCTTGCTCTGCTGCCCTCTTGAGGGTCCTGGGAGTACTACACCACCGGGGTGACAAGTCTCCCCAGAATGTGCAAAAATGAGGTTGCTAATAGAGCCAAAGGAATGCACATCCAGGACGAATTCATTTCTCACTGATGAACTGACAAAATGACAATAACGCATAACCTGAATATTCTCTTATTTTAAAGTGAATATTCTAAATCACACATTTGAAAGGAAAATCAAATCTAAAATGCCCTCTATATAGGACTTCTGTTGAAAATGTTATTCTGAATTTTAAAACATACACATTTCAGTGTAAAAAGTCTCCACCGGTGAAGGCTGTCTGTTTCTGTTTTGTTGAATGGGGGGTCCGCTTCCCCGGAGGCAGCAGATGCCCCTCCCCCAGGCTGCCATGCGATGTCTTGCAGGTCTGTGGGTTTTAGCCCTAGAATCACTATTAGGAAACCTGGCAACCTGTACGCTGCTGTCTGTCAATTTCTGTGGGGAGTAGGCAGCACTGCTTAGGGCCTGGGCAGCGGGTGGGCAGCTACGGGGAGTGACAGGCTGCAGAGACTGTAGCTTGCTCTGCACTTCGCAGGCGTCACGTCCTGCCCACGGTGTCTGCCTCTACACGCTGGTTAGCTTATTAGAAATAGAGGGGGCTCAAGGCCAAATGAGGGTCGAGGTTCTCGTTTCTCTTGTGCTTAAAACCAGGTCAGTCCATGATGCTCACTAACCTGCCGATGAAAACTGATAGTCGTGTAAAAACATCAGGAAAACACAGTGAGTTAGAAAATCAATGTTCTCCGTTCACCACGTTTACCTTAGGGTCACAGGCTTTTCTCTCTGTTTGTTTAGGAAGAATAGCTGCAAAAGCTGTCTCTTCTTCACTTCCCAAGGAAAAGAACTAGAACAAAATATCAAAAGTGAGTTAGCTCAAACTGCTTTGTAGGGGTGCTGAGTTTGATGGGAAAATACTCCCCAGACCCAAAGTTCAGTCTGCGCCTTGTAAACATGCCTCTCATTTCACTTTGCTTCTCTCCACACACATACAAGCCTCCGGGCAACCAAGTGTCCCAGCGGGAAGGTACTGTGCTGCCAACTTATCACTCGGCATCTTAAACACTTTTAATGCCAAAAACTTTTAGTGACTCTTTTAACAGTAGAAAAAATTGTTGAGTATATTATAAATCACCCCCATCAAAGCTAATGCTTATGTCAATGCAGATTATGTAATACACAAATTAAAATGAGACTAAAGGACTAACAACTGTAAAAGGTGTAACACTTTAAAGAATGAACCATCCAACAACCATGAATCACAAGATACAGACAACAAGCAGCAGCTTGTTATTGTCGGTTCAAGTAACTACATAAAATAACCATAATTTTTAATATGAGTTAGACTTAGAAAATGAATTCATCTGTAGAAACAATTGTTTTGGGTTTGAAAATATGGAGGAAAAAATCTTTACTAGATAGCAGAGATAACATAGTGTATTTCTTCAAATAATGGTCACTTTCCTTTAATAACACTATACATAAGCACAACCGTCAACCAAGAACTTTTTAAAAACATTCCGCTGATTATCTTAAGAGTTAGAATTCCCGGGGCTGGCCGAGTGGCTCAGTTGGTTAAGAGCTCACTCAAGAGTTTGAGCTCTGAGCAACAGCGGTTTGAGTCCAGCCCGAGCTGAGCAGCCACTGAGCTGCCAACAGGTAGCAGGATGGCTCAGCTAAAAAAAAAAAAAAAAGTTAGAATTCCCTAATCCAGTGAATTTTAAAAACTAATTAGCACAGTACCTTCTCTGCTGACAGCTCCTTTGCTGTGTGCAGCTGATCACACTTACAGATATAAGGTGAGGGTGGCATCGGGGGTGCCCTCAAAGTGAACCCCAATGTTAAGTTTGAAAGGTCTTTCTATCACTAATAGTCGCCAAGAGGTCATTTCAGAGGGGCCCTTAAGAAAGCCATTACAAATACAAATGTCCTCCTGTATCAACGCTAAAAAGGTTTTTGCAAGACTGTAAGACCTTTTTCATTACTGTGAGATTATGACAGATTTAAAAAAAATATGTGACATTTATTTCGAATGGGAACTCATTCTGGAAGAAAATACAGTGATCGTGTTTATTTGCAGTTTATGCTTTGTGATAAGTGTGCTTGAAAAAGTTCCAGCCCTATTTTTTCACATGAATAAACCCAGGGAGCAGGCGGTCGTCTGCGAGCTCCACTGTGCAGCTGCGACCGCTTATGACCTTATGCTTGAAGGCGATACATGCGTGAGTCCTCGCAACGCGCACTTTGTCTGTCTTGCTCTGTTCTGTTTTAGGCCACAGCCTTGCAAGCCCAGTTGTAGCCGTCAATGACAATTTTAAGGTTAGGTGATGCTTATGTTTGCCAAATCAGCTTTATATACAAGATCCGTTATTACCAAATTTTACAGCCCACACAGGACATTTACACAAAAGGCAGCAGTTTTGTCTAAATGAGTGTAATGGGGTAACCAATTGCAAACGAGTTTGAGGACCGACAAGATAAAATGCAAACACAAAATTCTAGGCCGTACCTAGATATACAGCCGTGACTCCTGGCTCCTTTACACTTTGAAAGTTAGCTCACCTGCAAAGGCTGAGGTGGTTCACTGGCTTCAACTTCGTTTTCTTTGATCATCGTAGGAGCTGTTGAACACTAATATAAGACAGACCAAAGGCAATATAAGTTGCAAAATAAATATAAATTTTTATTTGACATAAATATAAAAACACCATATCCAATAGTCGCAGAAATAAAAACTAAATGTTGATTAAACATTATGTTCACTTTGCAAGAATTTAAAAAGATCTTAATAGTACTGGTAAATATAAAGTGAAATAAACATGCATGCTGTAAAACAGTAAGATTTTAGACTTGATAAGATGAAGAATGAAGAATCTACGGAAGCTGTTCTAAGCCTTTCAAGCTACAGTTCCACTTCTGGGAATCAAATCTAAGAAAGTAACTTAAAATGTAAACAATGATCTATGTGTAAAAACTAAAGTTTTTATACAGCAAAATGCTGGAAATAATCTAAATATTCAAAAACCATGAACTAATATTTGTCCAAAGCGTAGGGTATCCATAGGATGAAACGTAACCTTTAAAAGATGTCTTTATGAAAAGTTTTTAATAATGTGAGAAAATACAATATGACATGAAGGGGAAAGGATATAAAAGTATTGGTACTCATCAATCTAACCATATTTTTAAAAATAGGCCAAAAAAAGCTGGAAATGTTAATAATAATTATCTCTGAGTGGTAGGGTTTTATTTTTTTCACCTTTTTCTGTATTTAAGGGGGGAGTGGGACTCAAGATTCATAAAAGAAAAAAAGAGAATGGAAACACTGAAACTAGAGTAAGAGAAGCAGGACCTGGGTGATTTACTGCAGAATCTCTGCACCTCAGTAGTGCTGTGACTCTGAGTCCGTGCCACGGTCCCCAGGGCGCAGGCAGCAAGGGACTCTGGTGCCACAGTGACAACGAGGCTTCACAAGATGCTTGAAATGTGAGGGAAGCACAGCTCAGTGGATGTCTGTCGGACACCGGACACACTGCTAAGCCAAGGCAGCCCAGCTGTCACGGCACTTCCTTCAGCGACATCCTATCTTTGTGAAGCTGGGTTTTTGGAAATTGCTATGATGAAAATCACTGAACTTGTGAAAATCAGTGTGGAACAAGAAGCCTAATCTATTCCAAGGTTTGAGAAGCTGGGCAGTGCTCAAGGGCACATGTTCCAGTAATAAGTGCATTTACTTCAAAGAAAATTCTCATGGTAATCATTTCACTACATATACGTGTATCCTACTATTATACTGTATTCCTTAAACTCATACAAAGTTCTGTCAACTATATCTCAACAAAGTGGGAAAATAAAAATGTCTACTGCGTTACAAGGACATATACTTAGGTCAGTACTGCTGACTATGTGGTATGTGGAACCGGTAGGTATTTCTTTTGGCCGAGGGACGCAATGGAAATATTACTGAGTACGAGGTGACATCAAGGACCTAGATAGCTTGGGACCCTCAGTTACAGCCTCATTGTAAATTACATAACATTCTATATCAAATTAAAAAATATACTGATAGAAAAAACACTGTACCTGCTGAGAATCCCAGTTCAGAAGAGATGTTGGTCTAGCTTGTGGGACTACGGAAATCCACGGTTTCCCAGCTGCAGTGCACAAACGGAAATGATTTTATTCACCACGCCCAGAGCAGCACTCTGAAACTTTTTAGAACTTATTTCTAAAACGAATGCAACAAGGCGCATAATTTAAAGATGTGGCAAAGTCTTGGTAAATGTTGAGAAAAATCTCAATTTCTTTCTACACTCAGCGGGCCAGGCCCTGGGGAAAAGCAGTGAAAGAAACAAGGCCCCTCAGAAAGGGTGGGACACAGCATACAAATACACCAGGCAAACTCAGACTGAGAGCAGGTTTCACATCCATCGGAGATGGGATGGAGAAGCTGTAGCAGGATGGTTGGGAAGGTCTCTCAGGGGATGTGACATTTCAGCTGAGGCCTGAAGACCAGGACACCAGCGGCCCTGGGTGAGCGTTCGTCCGGAGAGAACAGGACAAGGTCAGGGGCGCAGGACTCCCTGCCCACTGCTATTCTCCGTTAGGGCTGATTTTACCAAGTATAGGCGCTACCCATGGCAATGTAATTAACGCAGCCTGCAGAGCAAGCATATCTCACCCGCGCGGCTACTGAGAGAACACCCTCCAGTGCTGCCCTCCGGCCCGTGTGTCTGCACAGCTCCTTGCTGCCCAGAGGCTGTGCCTTCCCTTCTCAATGCTTCCAAGCCGTCCAAAGCCGTCACGTGTTCAGACAGTGACTTTAAAAGGGAAATGTTACTTCCCGACCCAGAAAGTTCTGAAAGATTCCTAGGACCAGGCCCGCATGGTGTGCTTTCTCCAGCAGTACCTACTCCAGAGCGGTCAGATTCAGTAACAGGTGCTTCTGTGTCTCTGAAAACGGGACGCTTTCTTCCCGGAGGGTAGCACAAGGAGTTGGAAACTTGGGGGCTTGACTGACCAAGGGCCGTGACACAGGCCTCAGAGTGACAGTGAGTGGCATGCAATAGCGGGACTGTGCTGTCACCACCAGGGCCTGTTGGGAGGGCCTGCTCCTTCTTTTTAGCAACATCACTTCCCATGATAGAAGGCTGAGGCTGGGCCCACTCTGAAGGTCGGCTGTTCTCAGGAGTCTGATTAGGGGCCATGTTTGAAAAATAAGGAATATGTAAATTCGAGGTTTTACCCTTAGATTGATTCGGGAGGGAAGCAAAATCATAGTTCATTCCGACTTTTTGGGTCAATTTATTAGCATCTTCATTAAACAGACCCCCAGTACACTCTAACTCTGAGTCAGAACCGCCATCCTCCTCTGCTTTTTCTCTGGCGTTTCCAGCTTTCCAGGCTCCTGGGTCAAGACCTGCACAAGTCAGACCACAAAACTGGGCCGGCAGAGTCTCTTTAGCAGGAAGTGTCTCTGCAGGTTTACCGACAGACGTTAGGAGGGGCCGGCGCTCACGGCCGGCTTCCTCACAGTTCATGCCCTCACATGGCCTCGGAAGACCTGGGCTGCGGTCACTGACCAGAGTTTCCTTTACCCAGCACTCCGACTCCGGGGCAATCTCGCTGCTTTCCTGTGACTCCTCCTCAGTGTCACTGGTTTCAAAATTGCTCAGGTTAAAAGTTACCTCCAAAACTGGTTGTGTGGCATTACTCTCGGGTTCACGAACACCAGGAAGACTTTCATCGGCAGCACTGCTTTCAGAAAACATGTCGGTAACGGCAGCAGACACGCCAGGCTCGTCACGTCGTGAAGACTCGGTTTGGAGCCATTCAGGTCCTGGCAGACCCGACACTGCCTGTTTATACTCCTTTCCTGGTGTTTCACACCGATTTGTCTCCTGAGCATCTTCTCTCATGAGAATCGATCCTTTTCCACACGTCTGGCCATTCTGCTTAACAGGCATTTTAATATTCTCTTGAATGTCAGATTCTGATACTGAGCCATCATTTTCTGCATTGCCACAGGCAACGGGTAGGCTGTTGCTTTCACAGCATGAAGTGATTTCTAATGTTACTTTCTGATCCCAAGATTGGTAATTATTATCTACCAGCTTGTCTTCATTATACATTTCCCCATTTTCAGCACATGTTGCAAAGAGCTGTATCCCTTTTTGTACCAAAAGGTCTTCCCCATGTAAATTCATTTTATCTCCCTGGGCTGTGGGTTTCCTTTCCAGATCACTTCCACCTTCAGGAGAGTGGACAGGTGAGCTCTGCGAGAATGAATGCACAGCCCGCTGGCTTCTGCTTTTCATGGTCCCTTCTGACTGACGCTGGTCATGCAAACTTCCTGTTCTCACCTCCACACACTCTTCCTGTTCGATGGAGCATTTTGGTTTCGTAGCGAGTTTCAAACCTCCTGGTGGTTGTCCCTGAGGGAGGCACTCCGTGATCTTAGCCGTTACGTCCTTAGGCGTGCCAGCTGACTTGGACTTCAGCAGCGCTAATATCTGCGCCTTGCTTCTGGCATGCTGGGGGACTCCCAAACAGGGAGGCGCCAAACTAGCTCCTTTCGTGGGCTCACTGGTCAGTAAAGAATCTGAATGCTTATTTACAGAACTGACAGGAGAGCAAAAATGATCTTCTTCACACAGAGTTTCTGGGTTCATCTTGAAGGACGGAGCAGAGGCAGCTGAAGAGAAAGGTCGGCCACTTCTCGCGCTGCTCTTGTAAGTGGCGGTGTTCTCGGCCTCTGTGGGCGTACTGTGCACGTCTTCCTTGCCGGCAGTAGAAAACAAAGGAGGGGTGCTATAGAATGCAGAAAGAAAGCCAGGGCCAGGTTTCTTAGCCTCAGCTGCTGCAGCTGATTCACCATCTTCCGTAATAACCACTTTGTTTGGCACTTGACGTGGTCCTTGGAAACCCTAAAAATAATACAACAATTATTAGCTGTTCCATTGCCTATAAAGAAAATGTGAAATGAACTGGCTAAAAAAAATAAGAAGAAATAAAAAGGAATGTGTATGTTTTGCAAGGTAAAGTAACAAATAAGGATAGAAAGTTTGCCGAGTTAAAATGCAAACTCATTTTCATGAACATCTTTCTAATGAGGGTGTGCCGCCTTTCCACCCGAGCATATGCTATGACGTGCCATACGGACGGTGGAGTACAACAGCTTCAACGTTCACTACCTGATTTTATAAATACACACTGACTTATGTTCAACGGAGAAACTTACAGCAAACTTCCTTTTCAAGCCAGCAGGCCGGCACCCAAGGGCGCGGCCAGAGGGAAAACACCTCCTTGAATTTGACTCTGGTGCCTCCTGAACAACATCCTGTGTAAGAGCTCTGCTTCTGGCAACTTTCACCTCCTCGACTGTGATTATGTATCGATCGCTTTCTAAGTCATCTCCAGGTTTCACCTAAATTTTAAAGAATAAATGTCAAAACCATTGCACCTCTTTGATTATGTGTCCCAGTAAGTTTACTAGCACTAGCAAAACAATGGATATTCAATTACGTTATTGAATGAGAGGATCAATAACTAAGTTCTTTATTTACTATGCACTAGTTAACTACCAACAAGCACAGGAAAGATAATAATACAACCAAAAGTTTCACTGTTTATTCAACAGCACCTACTGGGGACCTCTGTGAGGCCGTTACATGCTGCCAACATGAACACAAGCGAGAAAATATGCCTCCTCTGAAGGAGCTCACTTAGCATCCATTCAAGAATTGTAATTTTTTAAAATTAGACCTATTAAAAAATTGTAATTTTTAAAAATTAGACCTATTAAATATCAAATACGTCTTTATAAATTAATGAGAATTTATAGATACAAACTCATAATTACCATAAACTTATTATTATAAATTATTAGTTGCTTACACGATCATACTCCAAAAAAGCATTTTTAATCACCTTGCAAAACAAAATACAGCACTTGCCACCATCTCTGACTGCAGCATAAAAATAAAATTACCAACCTAGTTGGTAACACACAAAACCTGTGTATTATCAGATAATGTGCTTAATCTTTATTAATGGAATGATTTAAATGAAATAATAACAGTAGTTACCATTCATTAAGCATCTAATAAAATAGTCTTCTCCTACCTAGACGCTCTTTTGATAAATATAAAAATACCAAAACTTGGGCCGGCCAAGTGGCTCAGTTGGTTAAGAGCTCACTCAAGAGTTTGAGCTCTGAGCAACAGCGGTTCGAGTCCTGGCCCGAGCTGAGCAGCCGCTGAGCTGCCAACAGGTGGCAGGATGGCTCAGCTTTAAAAAAAAATAAAAAAAATACCAGAACCATTATTAATGTCACATAGAATTTAAAATTAAATGCCATGGCCAAAATCACCACAATGGTAATGGGAACATTAACACTTCTAGAGTCGCTGTACTAAGCTGCTAGGCAGTCGACACAAGTTATTTCGGATTTTCAGCCCAACAGCAAAGTCTGCCAATGATCTGCATCTTACGGTACAGAAGGGAGACCCAGGAAGTGGGAAAGGAACCCAGAATGAACAACTCTAATATCCTTACTCTTCACCGTAAAACAAGCCTTAGTTACCCCGCTCCTCTCCCCAATGAGGAAAAAGACAGAATTTATGAGAAAATATTGTAATGAGGAATGATTTCACAAAGTAGTCCCACTGTGGTTCTGTGACTGTCACAGCCGTGGGATAGTCAGACTAGTTAAGTCCTGGGTTCCACTCCCAGCCCACCAGGCGCTCTGAACGTGGGCAAGCGCCTCGCCTTTCTGCACGGTGCTCCTAGCCTATATTCCCAGGGTTGGTGAGATTAAATTAAACAATATCTAAAAGCATTTAGCACGGAGTCCGGCTAATAATAAATGCTCAATAAATACCAGCTGTAACTATTAGTATTAGTACCATGATGACACTATTTAACAACATTCATAAAGGATTTAAAGAGATTGCTTAACAATAACTTAAACATAAGGTAGACACATTAAAATACCTCAAGGCACTTGAGAAACAAGCTCTCCAAACATTCTCCTTTGTCGTCATATAAAATTGCCTATATTAAAACAAAATGAATGTTAAAACGGGACACATCGTAATTCTGCTTTTCTTAAACATCTTCAACAGCAAATCAAAGCTGTTGCACACGCATATCATGTGAGGAAAGGGTTACCCACTCCGTTAGTTGGGAATAGCAGCGCATCCATCTTAATGTTCACTAGCTGCTGTCCACTCTGTGAAGAAAGCAAAGGCATGCTCACAAGCAGCTCAAAGCCTCAGTCCTTGCCGTGAGCTGCGGGAGGGAGCTGCGAAGCAGGCAGAACTGGAACGTGGGGGGCAACACAAGCGACAAGGCCAGGGAGGAGCTTACCTAACGGTACAGCCCGCTGGGGACCAGGGGGACCACCAGTGCAGGGAACAAACCATCAGCCTGGGGACAAGACAACTGTCTGCGAGGTGAGTGGCGGATGGGGGAAAGGAGGCTGGGTGATCATCGCTTTCTGGCTTTCTCCTTGTGTCTCTCGCCATTTCACAGCAGTTTCTCCACTAGCCCCCTAAATGCTGCTGTTTCCTTGACTTTGGAGTTTGGCAATTCCTTAACAGATTAAACATAGTGACCACATGATCCAGCGATTCCACTCCCGGGCAGACAGACAGAAATGACCAGCACTGGCACACAGTGTATATCAGCATTATTCATACAGGCAAAAAGCAGAAACAACTCAACATCCATCAACTGATGAATGGATCAAGTGGGAGAAATCCATAAAACAGAATATTATTCAGCAACTAAGGGAACAAAGTGTTGATAACAGTTCAACATGGATACACACTGCAAACACACTAAGTGACAGAAACAGAAGTCATTTACAAAAGTCCACATGCTGCAGCATGCCACTCACGCAAATCTGCTGAGATGGTAAGTAGACGTGGGGTGCTTAGGGCTGCGGTTGCATACCCAGTAGTGACTACTGGTGGGTATGGGGTTTCTTTTTGGGGCGACAGAAGTGTCCTAAAATCAGAGTTTGGTGATGGTTGCAAAACTGTGAATATACTAGGACCCACTGAATTATACACTTTAGATTAATTGAAAAGTGTGAATCATGTCAATAAAGCTGTTAAAGAAATCGGTGTTTCCAAGGGCTCCACCTTTCTTCCTCTACTCTTCACACTTTGCACCGCACCCTTGCACAGCAGCCCCCCTACATTCAGGTCAGGCCATGCGTCTGCTCAAACCTTCCATCTCTACAGCTCCCACCACAGGAGAGCACTCAGTGACCAGTGGTCCTAAACCCCTCCCTCCCTTCTCACCCAGGCTCACTGCACCCTCGCTGTGGCCTAACCCACCACACATGCCTCTTCTCTTCATTGAGCTCACTGGCCCGTCTCCTCCATGCTATGCCCACAAAGTCAGAGTTTATCTGTTCCGTTCCCTGTTGCGACCCTCACAACAGTGAGTAACTCATGACAGACGCTCAACAATCTTTGCTGAATGAATGAATCCAGTCTGGGAACTTCGCATGTCATCTAAAGGCCAAGCACTCCTGACCCATGCCAGGTGCACACACCCTCCTGAGTTCCAGTGAAACTCAGGAAGTTCAAAACGGAACTCAGAGGGCCGGCCGAGTGGCGCGATGGTTAAGAACTGGCTTGGGATGCCAGAGGGCCCCGGTTCGGATCCCACATGAGGGCCAGTGACACTGCCCTCCTTTAAAAAAAACAAAACAAAAAACAAAAACAAAACGGAACTCAGAATCTTCACTGTTCCCTCCAAACTCACTTTCTTTTTTGACATACCCTCCCTCAGGTACTGTAATCGACGCAGAAACCTGAAACCCGTTTCGGATTCTCTTGGACTTCCATATCCAAGACCTTAATTAAGAGTCTACAGTATTTCCACAATTCCTCTCTAATCCCTTCCCTCCGTTGTCACTGCGAATGCCTACGGGGTCAGCTCCCAGCATCTTGTCTACATTGCTCTACAGCCTCCTTAGTACAGATGGCTCCCTAAACCCAAGTCGCCTTTCATCCCACAGGACTTCAAGTTCCGTTAGACCCTGCTGCCACAGTGAGTTTCTAAAACAGAAACACAATGATGTCAGCCCTCTGCTCTCAAGCCTTCGCTGGCCTCAAGCTGAGCACACAAAACCCACCACCAGGAGCTCCTGCCTTCCCAATACATGAGTGGGCTGCATCCAATCAGTGGGAGGCCTGGAGAGAACCAAAAGGCAGAGGGAGAGGGTCATGTATCTTACATTTCTCTGGATGTCTCTACATGAGTAGGCAGGGCTGAGTCCTGCAAACTTTATGGTTTGGGAAGAGAATGAGCTCACAGACGATTCCGAGAAGCGGTCAGCAAGCAACACCAGGAGAGTGTGGTGTCACACACGTCAAATGAAAAAGCGGGGACGTGAAGAAAGCAGGATGCGAGTGTAAAGGTCACATAACTGACCAGAGGACACAGAGATCTGGCAGACAGAGACTACGGGGTGGGAAAAGAAACCACAAAGGGTCAGCATGTCAGCACAGGGAGAGAGCACCTCCTAAGTAATTCTCTCAGACTGACAGGATCATGTCACAACCAAAGCGACAGATTCAAGGAAAATCTGTGAAAAGGAGAATTCTATGCATGATTTCAGAAATTGGCAGTTTTTCTAAAATGGTATGTCAGCCCTCTATGCCTTTTCACTATGGGCATGATTGTGTTAGAAATATATCTCAACAGGCAGTTGTTTCTATAGAGTTAAACTCTTACTACCTTCAAAGAGAAAATGTGCCAAAATTCCTCAAGTTTCAACAAAATCTAATTCAAAAAAATAAAAACAAATAACATTTACTGAATTTTATAATGCACAAATTAATCAATAAGATGTGGGAATCATTCGGCAATTTCTGTTTTCCCATCAAGTCATTTTATGAACACATCTAACATTGTACCACCGACAGCGTTCTCTTCACATCCAATGAAAAGGTAAGAACCTAGCTCTTGGGTTCTGCTGGCAACTGTTTTGCACTTACTTTATTTCCTACGTGAGAGATCTTCAGAATTCCATCTTGCCACACTTTCGACTTCTTCATCTTTTGATGAGTATATAGCACCTTATTTCCAAAAGCACAAAGTAAAGAAATGGTTTCTATGTATACGTATTAAATGTTATATATCTCAAACCCTTCTACAAACAAAATACATTTAATACATCTTTTGGCAAAATAAAAGCACAGGTATCAATCATAACAATAACCCAAAAAAATCAATTAAAAAAAGAAACTAGGAAGTAAAAGCCAAGAGGGGCAGAAAGGAGAAGTAAAATTTAAGTTAAGAACTGAAAAGTTAACGAGTTAACAAAAATAAATGAGCTTCTCAGTCAATAGTGGGAGGAACAACACATGGGGTTACACAGGACTTGTGATGTGCAGGTCTCAAAGTGGCCTCCAGGGACTCATGGAGGTCTCCAAGACTTTTTCAGGGGTCTGTGAGGTCAAAACGATTTCCACGATGTTATCTGCCTTTTTACTCTCACTGCTTCAGGCAGTTATAGAAGAGTTATGTACGGGCTATGTATAGGCAACATTGCAAGATTCAATTTCAAACTGAATGCAGAAGTGGATCTGAGAATTAAGTAAAATGTTAAAGGGATTTGCAAAAAATGTATAGCAATGCTACTCTTTTCAATATGCTTTTTTGTTATTGCTTTGGAAAATACAGCTATTTTCATAAAAAATGTAATTTATTTAAAATGTAATGGGTTGTTTTTTTGTTTTGTTTTGTTTTAGCTGAGCCATCCTTGCCACCTGCTGGCAGCTCGGTGGCAGCTCAGCTCGGGCCAGGAATTGAACCAGTGACCCTGTTGCTCAGAGCTTGCACTCTTGAGTGAGCTCTTAACCAACTGAGCCACTCGGCTGGTCCATGGGTTCTTTTTTAATGAATTAATAGGTATTTAAATTTTTTTCTGTTATAATTTCTGATATGAAACACATCAATAGATATGAGCCCCATAATAAAAATTTCTTTGGGGTCCTCAATAATTTTTAAGAGTAAAAAAGGGTCCTGAGACCAAATAATTTAAGAACCATTGATCTAGACAGGAGAGCCACACCAGTTCTTCCAGAGAAAGAAATGATTTCCTGGTCCCCAGCCACCCGAGAACTTGTTTTAAAGGATTCTGGATAACAAATGTGGATAGTAGACAAGAAACAGAGTTGCCAGATGAAATACAGGGCAATATTTGAGATATACACACTTATACTAAAAATTCCCTCACTGTTCATCTGAAATTCAAATTTAACTGAGTGCCCTGCTTTTAGGGGTTTTTTTTTGTGGGTTTTTTTTTTTGGCGGGGGGAGGGTTGTTTGTATTTTGCAAAACCTGGCAACACTAGCAACATTTGTAAAATGTGGAAGAAGGGGGAGGAAAAGAGGAAATATGACTTACGATAAACTCTTGGCTTTCCATGGTTTCTTCAGAAGTTATAAATCAGTCAGGTCCAGAAAACAGCGGTTACTCAACTATTTATGTCACCTAAAATAAAAAGTGACAAAGAATATTCCATCCTGATGAAAAGAATCAGTACTCAATAAAATTTTCCCCACAAACTCTTGACAGGAGAGAGGAATCTGAGAGTTCCAAGAGAACTCTCAGAACCAAGGGAAATACAGTGCAATCAAATTATTTGCCACTGAGGACACAAAAGTGACACCACATTGTGGAAAAAGAATTTCCCAAATAAGAGAAAACTAAGTAAAATATATAAATAATTAGCCTGCAAACATTTTTCCAGGTGCCATAACGTGTACCAGAAAGTGAGTCCCCTCCCACCAGCTTTGGTTCCTTATAGAAAGAGCTTTGACTTATAAAGGTCTCAGAATTGATATGGTCACCACAAGGTGGCCCCCTTGCGTTTAAAATTTGTCCTCTTACATCATGCCACAGTACCTAGTACCAATACACATATAATACCTCTGCAAGGAAAAAAAAAATCTTTTCAACATTGTTGCAATGAGTACTGTACTCTACACTATTGGATAACACTGCCATTGTGGGCAAATTTGGAAATCTAAACACACTGAAGGTGAATTGAAGAAGTAAATGCAGATGTTAAAAAAAATTTTCCCCCCAAAAGCTGTGGTTCCAAAAGTATGACAGCATCAGCATGAGCTGGAAATATGTTAGAAATCAAATTCTTGGGTTCCCGCCCTGACCTATTAAATCAGAAAGTCTGGGTGGGGACCCAGTCGTGTGGTGTAACAAGCCCTGCAGGTGATAGCAGTACACACTTGAGTTTGGGCACGGGCCCTGAAAGACCTGGGGATGGGAGTGTCAAGAGAGCGATAGCTTGCAATTCTGCATTCAATTCCTCACTTATAGATATAAAATAGGCTACCTACATATTATTTCTAAACTACATATATTTATTTAGTCCTTACTATATGCCAGGCCAAAATGAACAAAACACTATTCCCAATCTCAAGGGGTTTTCAGTACCAAGAAGTGATGAACAGCAATTACAATAAAATACGACAGGAAGAAGCACAGGAGGCACACCCAACTCAGCCGAGGGCATCAAACAAGGCTTCCCAAAGGACCTAATGTCTAAGCTGTGAGCTGCAACAACCACTAACCAAAGGAACATGCCAGGGGGGGAATTTCCAAACAGGAATCAATATGGAAGGCACAGCACAGCTGGACAAGGAACGCTGAGCAGTGCAGTCAGGGAGTCAGGCGTAAGGTAGTGCGGGCACACCTGGAGAAGGAGCAGTAAGAGGGTTCTGAGGGCCCCCTGTCTGGGCTTTCTGTGTGACAACAGGAAGCCATGGCAGGATTTTCAGGGTAAAATGGCATAATCTGACTTGGGATTTACAAAGATCGTTCTGGCAGCCAGTGAGAAGAAGAAGGGGGTAAGGGCCAAGCAAGTGAGATGAATGCCTGCTGCAGACTGGGCTCACAACGCAGGCCCCAGACCTCCAGGAATGAAACTGCCATACCCCGTGTCCCCCCACTCCGGCCCCCTGGAATTGCTAGATGCCTCAGGAATGACAAGATAACTGAGGGTCCGGAGAGGTGCCTCATTCACTGCTGCTTTCAGAGCCACTGGGCCCCAGCCACTGAATGGGCCGGCCGTTGTGTGTGTGGCCTGGAGATGACACGGTGGACACAGCGCTTGGCACGCGGCAGCTGTTCATCAGACCTCTAAGAACAGCTATCAGTTATTCGGTGCAATTACATGCAGACATTGGTGAAGGCGTTTAAATGCTCACAGCCTTATGGTGCAGAGCATGGTTTTTACGTTCATTTTACAAAAAGGAAACTGAGCTACAGAAAAGGGAAGTAATTGGCCAAGATCATAAAGTAAATAAATGGCAGATTCAGAATTCAAAAATATTTAGAAGAGCCCTAACTTCATAAAATAGGAAAAATGGTTTTAGCCAACAGCATCATACACTTAAGTGAGGTGCAACGATAAAACATTTTCTCAAGTCTTCATCTATCTGCATCTGTCACACAATTCCAAGTGTTGACCCACCTCTAATGGGTACAAGTTTAACGTGCAAAAAAGATTTGTAAAGGGGTGAGGAGACCCTCGATATTCTGATAATTACAGTAGTACAGACATACACACCTACACACACACACTACTGTGCCGTTTATACATTTATGCGTGAAATTCGGCCTTCTCACTAAAATGTAGCTATTGCTCCTGGAAAGGACGACGGGATAGTTCTGGTCTTTTTGTTTTGGAACAAGCAGGACCTTCAGAATTCCTAAATGATTTACAAGTTTCAGAATCACAAACCCAATACCCTGTGAAGAAACCGTCTAGTCCAAATGATCAAAAGGAGCCCACATTTCATTGGCCCAGGTCCTCATTCCCACGACCCTTTTGTGTGGCCAGGACAGCGGGCTCGGCCCTCTGTCGGAGCCCGCTCAGGCCCTCAATCGCCCGCGGGAGCAGCAGCGCAGGGGCCGGGAAAGCGGTGACGACGAGGCTCAACTATTACCGGCAGTCGGGGCCATCGGTGCCGGCGGCCGCCCACGCCGGGCGCGGAGCGGCTCACCGTCTCCTCTGGCGTACCGAGTCCGTCGTCCCTTTGCCCGAATCAGCGGCGCCGCTTCCTAGACACCCGGGAACCGCTCACTTCACCCGCCCACTAGCAAAACGCATTCTCGAATTCTCCCGCGAAAGACTGTGACGTCATTAACGCGGGACCGCACTAGAGCAAGACCCGACTGTCGGCCGGCACTGTCGCCTCCGCGCCGCCTACCCAGCTCCTCATTGGCTGCGCGCTCTGACGCCCCGCCCCCGATTGTGACGTGGCGACGGCGAGCGCCTCGGCGCGTCTGTCTGAGTCGTCCGGGAGAGGTGTGTCGCTCGTGCTGTGACGCGGACGCAGCCACGCCTGTAAGACTCCGTAGACTGCAAGGGCCGGGGACACAGGGTCTGGCCGTGTATTTTGGGGGTTGAACCGAGTAAATTCCGAGTGGACTCTAGGGTCGCTCAGGTGGGTGAGGCCGGTCCGTTCGTCACCTGTCGCCCCTGCCACCCCGCGAGCCCGTCAGCGCGCGGTGCTAGTTCTCTGCGCACGCGCAGGTCCTCTGGCCGCGCGGGAGTTCCGCTTGTTAGAGGCGGGGCCTCCGCGCGGTTTTCGCGGCCGGAGGTTCGTGCCCCGCGGCGGGAGTTTCGGGGCCGGGCGGCGTCCGTGCGGAGGGGCGGTTGCCGACAGGGGCGCTCGTCACGTGGGGAGTTGCGTCACTTCACAGATTTGGGCTTCGGCGTCCGAAGGACAGCGAAAGTGAGGACTTGTGTTTACAATTAAGTCCTGTTTTTCAGGACCCTCAGCCTTGTCACCGAACTGTTGCGAGTCCGGTTACAGAGGGAGCTGACATGACGCTGCTGGGCGTTCGGGGCGGACAGACGGGAGGCGGTTAGCGGGGGGACGCGGCGGGCAGCGAGGGAGGCGGCGGCTCCCGGGGCGTGAAGCCCGAGTGGACGGAGGCGCGAGGCGGCGGCGGCGGCGACGCAGCCCCGGCCCAGCCCCCTTGGCGCACCGCTGCCCGCACGTCGTGGGAGCCGTGGACGAGCGTCCCAAGAAAGCGCGCGCACGCGTCCCAACATCTTCGTGTAATTTGTCAGGGACATTGTGAGGCTTTGAAACGGCCAAGAAAAAAGTACACCGGGTGCCTCGCCCGCCCTCCGCCGGGTGGTCGCTGCCTCTCGGCCCCTGAGCGGCTTTGCGATGGTGCGAGTTGTGGGAAACGGTGATAGTGGGAATCGGTCTTGCTACTAAATCACTTCAGTCACTGCCTTGGCCAGTTTTGCATCTATTAACAAACTTGTTTCAGTGTTCCTGATTGCTAATATTTGTGTGTGGTCTCTAAATTTTCTTTTGAACTGGTTTTTTGGTTTTTTTTTTTCTTAATTGGGGAATTGGGAAGGAGAACAGACAAGTTGCTGTCCTTTTGTTCTTCAGTCTAGTTGTGGAGGACGTCGCTTCACTGGTCCATGTTGGTGTTATCATTGCGCTCCTCCCGGGTGAGGCAGTTGCTCGCCGGCCATTGGACAGCGGCTCACGGCCTCTCACGCTGGCTGCCAGCCACACATGATAGCTTATGGCAGCCCACTGTCACAGGGGCTGCAGCCTATGCCATCCGGTGACTCATGGCAGCCCCTCTCCAGGTTGAGCTGTTGTTCAGCATCTTAGCTGTGGAGGGCAGTGTTACTGGCCCTCATGTGGGATCCGAACCGGGGCCCTCTGGCGTCCTAAGCCAGCTCTTAACCATCGCGCCACTCAGCCGTCCCTGAACTGGATTTTAACACTTAACTTTCCCTTGATTAATTACCTAAAATCTTTGACATGCAATCATTTTACATTTGTTGATTTTACCTTTTCTTTAAAGTTTATCTTTTAACAACTTTGTGATATTCACAAGAATTCTTGAAACCTACTGATATAGGGTACTTCTTGTGCCAGTGTTGTGGTCTCCTGGAACCGCAGAATGGAGACATGGACCAGAGAGGTAAAGTTGCAGAAAAGGAGTTTATTAGCAGTAAAAATACATTTCAAAGAAGCAGAAGTGGCCCAGGAGGTAGAGAATGGCTCAAGGACCATTGTTAGAAAAGAAAGGACACTCCAAAGAGTTTGGGGCAGGCTGAGCAAAGGAAGCTCAAAAGGCATTCACTGGCCAGGACTTGGGAGTTTTTATCCCTTTTTCTCCAGAATGGGCTGTTCCTCATGGGTGTGGGACCACCTGATTGATCTCATCTCTTTAGAAAAGGAGTTCATTAGAAGCAAAAAAGTTTTGAGTGGAGAGGGGATGTCCCCTTGGCGGTCACTCTGAGGGACATGCAGGAATGCAGAGACCCAATGCCTGCCTCTAACTGCCTGCCTTGTTTTCCCCTTGAGAGACGTGATCCCCATAAAGTCTCTATGGGAAGCTGAGGGGCAGGAGGTCTCTTCTGTATCTGCTTCCTGCTGGGCAGGGTCGCAGAGCTGTCCCTGCTTATTGGGGGA